CCGGCCCGAGCGCGTCGGGGTTCCGAGCGCTCCGGGGCCGGCCGCGCCTCCAGGAAGCGCCCGCCTGCCGCGCGGGCCCCGGGGGCGAGCGAGGAGCGCCGTGCGCCCTGGCGGAGTCCGCCGCTTACCAGCCTCGAGCGTATCCCTATCCCTAAGAGTGGCAGGCCAGGAGGCGATGACAACCTCAGGGATGCGCCCTCAAAAACATCAGGGAATCCCTACGATTGGCATCGTGATGAGGAGATGCCCAGCATGGGGATAGGGATATGCTCCAGGCTGGTAAGGATTTCTGACGAGAAATCAAAAATAGTCAACGAATACCCCCGAAAAAAGCCAGACGAATACCCCAAAAATCGTTCCTGGACAATTTCTGTACTATTTCAAAACATTGTCCTCCTGCAGAGGGGCACGTCATCGTTGTCTTGCTCACTGCCTGGCCGATCGGCGCGGGCCCTCGCACCCCTCCTCCCAGGAGGGGACAAAAAAACACGGACACAATGAATCTTCGATTCCCCAGGAAAATGTAGGAAAGTATGGGAAGTGGGGGGGGGAGACAGAAGCCCAGAAAAAATGTGGGTAATATGGTGCATCTTTCTATTCGTGTGTATTTCTTTGTGTGTCCTGGGGCCCCTTCATTGGCGAAGTCCACCGCGGATCGCCGGGGTCGAGAACGTCATCGTTGTCTTGTTCATTGCTTGTTCCGATCGGCGCGGGCCCTCGCACCCCTCCTCCCCCCTCCCGTGGAGTAGCTCCTGGCTGCGTCTGGCGCCCAGTTCCGGCAGGTGGAGCCCATCCCCAGCAGGACGCATTGCTGCAAACAGTCGAACTAAGCAGAGCTCCGGAGCCAGACCCCCCCCCTCTCCCCCCTTCTCGCCCAATGCCGAAACGTCGAAGCAGACACCGCTCACAAGTCCAGAGCTCCATTCGAAGAACCAAACATCCACACGCATTAGTTCCCTGAGCTCCGCGCGGCTCTCTTTCGATCGGCGCGGGCCCCCCCTGGCAGCGCCTTCCTTCGGCGCAAGTCGCAGAAGTCCGCGCGGGCCCCAGAGAAGTCATGCGTATCTGGTTTCTTGTCTTTCTATCCACGTGGGCGTCGGGGTCCACGGCTGTCGACGTCAGGGGTGCGTGGGTGTGGTCAGAGTGCACAGGGGTCTAGCTCGAAAGCAGAAGTGGAGGAGGCGGAGAGGGGCGGGGATGCGGGTGGATGGGAAGAGGAGGAGCAGCAGTAGGCGCCGAAGAAGCAGCAGCACGGGAGGAGGAAGAGGAGCAGCAGAGGCAGGTTGAAGAAAGCAGGAGGAGCGGGAGCAGGAGGTGGAGGGTCCCCGCGTCTTGGCTGCTGTGGAGTGGGGCCACCCACTGGTGAGCGTCATCATGGGTCGCACGTCTTCCCCGCCACGAGGCTGCCGCCGCCGCCCCCCCCGCACAGAACGCTCCTCGCATGCGAACTGGTTTTCGGCTGCGGCGCGGGCGGTCGCCCTCCGCGCGGAGTGGCTCCTAAGCGGGCTGCGCACTGGCAGAGGAGGAGGCGGGGAGAGGAGGAGAGCGGCTGCGGAGGGGGGCCTCTCAAACAGTGGAGGCCCATGCCAAGAGACACCCTGCCTGCCTCCAGGGTGTCCTGGGTTCCTCGGGTTTCGATGGTTTTGCTGTGGACGGCGTGACGCTCCCACAGCAGAACTCGATGGACGTCCTGGAGTCTCAGGGTGGGGCTTTCTGTGGAAGGCTTCTTGTGGGTTAGCCTCTACTGTAGGGCAGGGCGCTCAGATCATGGGGAGCGATCGCGCACTATTAGGCCAGCCGCGAGGGCGAACGCCACCACGTCCGCACAGTTCCGGCGGGCCACGTCCGAACGAGGAGCACACAATTTCACGGCCAGGGGAAGAGGAAGGTGGCCACGGAGGAGGAACGTGGGTCGGGGGCGGCAAGCAGCGGGGTGATGACTGGGGGGGAGATTATGGTGTGGGCCATGATGTTTCCTCAGACTTCATGGCGCCTCTTCTTATTTCGTTACGTTCCTGGCCCCCCCAGCTGGGCCGCGCACATGCCGCCGGCCATGACTTGCGCCCCCCCCTCTTGGACGCCCCGCCCCCCTCCCTCTCAACCGCCCCCGAGCGGGAGGAGGCGTCAGCCACGGAGGACCTTCGCCACGGGCAGCGAAGGCGCACACGCGTGTCGCGACACTGTGGAGGGGGGGGGGGCGCTTCTTCCAGGCAGCAGATTCTGGGCGGCGCGCAGCTGCCGATGACGGACGAGGCCCTGCGCATGGTCCTGCGCGACCGCCGGCACGCGTTGAAGGCGCGCTTCCAGCACCTCTATTGCCCGCAGCGCGGCGACGGTCGAGCCAAAGATGGGGCAGGAACAGTTACACATTGTTCGTTTCTAAGTATTCGAAAGTTCTTTGATCCTTGGGGGGCCAAGCTCCTTTCATTTCCAATCGTTCCATCCTGGGCCTCTTCCCAGCCACTAGGGGGCCAGGAACAGTCAGAAACGAGCACGATTAGAAACGAGCGCGATTAGAAACGCACGGCGTGTACTCGACTGCCAGAGGTCCGCGCGGATTTCTGGGATCCGCGCTAGGCCTTGGGCGGCGCCGCCCGCGCCGCCCCAGGCGCACCCCGCGCGCCGGAGAGAAGCACCCAGCGCGGACCTCGGGCGCGCGGGGGTTGCGCCCGAGGAGGGCGCCCAGCGCTGGCCCAGGAAGTCCGCGCGGACCTCGAGCATTAGGAGGGAAAGAACACACAGGCACAATGAATCGTCGATTCCCCGGAAAATCTGGAAAACATGGGAAGTGGGTGGGAAGGCGACAGTCCAACAGAATATGGGAGAATATGGGGAGGCCTGTTATTTGTGTGTATTTGTGTGTGTGTGTGTGTGTGTCCTTGGGCCCCTTTCATAGTAGTGTCTGTTCTGCCGAGGTCTGCTGTTCTTGAAGAGGGAGGTGAGGGCTGGGCGCCGCTGCTAGCGCTGAAACGAAAATCAGGGCATCTCCCGGCTTCCCTTCCGACCTCAATCGGGCGCGCGCCGAGGGGGATCGCGGAAGGGGGCAGGCCTGCTCGGAAGGCGGCGGGGTTTCTCGGGAGCCCCTCCGGGCTTCTGAGGAGCCCGGTGTGGTTTCCGGAAAACCAAGGAAACGACATCCTTTCCTGCAAAGTCACGTTTTTCAGCACCCGTGCATTTTTTGTTTGCTGCACTGCAGGATTCGGGTGTGTGTCCGGGTCAAGGTGGGTCTTGCAGGCGTTGGGGGCCTGTGTCCGGGCTTATTCTGGAAATGCTGCAGTGCAGTATTTTGTTCATGCCGCCGTTTGGAAACATTGGTTTCGAGGGATATTGGGTGTCCGGGTCTAGCGTGTCCGGGTCTACGGGGCCCTGATGGTTTCGGAGATTGCTCCAAGAGCTTCCCAGGAGGCCGGAGGCCTTCTGGAGCCTTTCCACAGGCGGCCCGCCCCCTCTGCCCTCCCCCTGTGTTGTTGCGCCGCCTGCGCCATGCCTGCGATCGCCCTTGCAGCAACCACCGCCTGCGGAGGTGGGCCGGGTCGCGGCCGCGGAGGTGGCTTGCTGCGACGGAGGGGCCTGCCGGGGCACGTTCACTCAGGAGGGAAAAAGGCACACAGACACAATGAATCGTCGATTCCCCAGAAAATATGGCAAAATATGGGAAGTGGGGGGAAGACAAAAACCCAGAAAATATGAAACAAATATGGGGAATCATGTTATTTGTGTGTATTTATTTGTGTGTCCCAGGGTCCCTTCATTCACGTATTCCTGGATGACGGTGCCATCTGCCAGAAATGACACGCGAGCGCTTCGCAGCAGCATTGTCGGGCGGGTGAGTGTCGGGCCCGAGCCCTCCGGCGCGCCATCTTTGGGCCCTCCGGGGGATCCTCCAGGGTCTTCCAAGGGCCCTCGTGGGGTTTTCTGGCGGTCTTCTCGAGGCCCTCTTGCTCTCTCTCTCTCTCTCTATCCCTCTCTGTCTTTCTCTGTGTCTGCTACTCTGGTCTCTCTTCCTCGCTCTCTCTTTCTCTCTCTCGATATTTTTATCTGTTCCCTGATAGCCATCATGGAGCCTCCTAGGATGCTGCTAAATGAATTGTGGACCCTGCCCCCCCCCCCCAACATTGTCAACCAGTGACGAGGCATCCTGGTCTGCCTATTTACGATTGGCCCACCATCAAATATGGTAATCGGATGTTGTGGGCTGTACACAAATAGTTCGTTCGGCTTCGACAGTTTTGCTTTAGGACATCGGCATCAAGTTATAAGAATAGTGACTCTGCGGGTCGAGCATTCGTTCGTTCCAAAGACATCCGTGGCAGAGCAGGCAGGCCAGGACGGTCGGCATCTATTCATTATTTGATATTTCGTTGGGCCCTCTGGTGGTTGCCCTCTTGCGGCGGCCTTGGACCCCGTCTTCGGCCGTCTCGAGGCCGTCGTGGGCCATCATGGTTAGGTTCGTGGCCCGCTTGGAGCCTCCTTGGACCTGTCTGAGTTGTCTTGGGGCCGTCTTGGGCCCATCTTGACTTGCAGTGTAGTGTTTTTTGGGGGGGTCTGCAAGGGCTCCGCTCAAGACGAGACCGCAAGCGCTTCGTCCCAAACCGATTTCTGACCTGCTGCTGGCGTCGCCGTCCTGCTGTGGATACGTATTCAGCACCTCGCAGCAGCACGGCTGGACCACTCCATCTGGTTCTGGATTAGGAAGCGTCACGGCCGTGGGCTGGCTCTGAGGGCTCTTGAGAGCCCTGGACCTTCCTCTGGAAGTCGCACGGGGTCATCCAGGCTGCCCAGATGGTGCCAGAGTGCGGTAGGTTCGTATCGAGCCGACGCGGTGACGACCCCAGCGCCGGCGTTCAAGTTTGAACGCCACCAGCGGTCCAGAATCGCTCAATGTGGAACGGTGCTTCGATCGAAAAGCCGCCGATCGCTCAAGATTGAACGATCCACGTGGTGTCAGAAACCCATGCCGAAGTCGTCACGAAACGAACCCGACGTTTATGGGGCCAGAGGATCGCGCCACACCGCCGATGCATCGGCGATGCGGCGCCAGGGGCAGCCCGACTTCTCCATCCCGACGTGGCCGACGCACCGTGGATACCGTGTGCGGTCCTCTGGCCCTGCTCCGGTCCCATGGGAGCGGCGTCCGTTCCAGGAAGGGGCCTCTCCTTCGAGGGGTCGACAGGCCGACGTCTCCTCCTCGGTGGGGGGGGGGGGGGGCGGAAGTCTATCGGAATAGATGCAAGCGTTTTAGCCAGCGTGGACCCCTAAACAGGGTGTTTTAAGCAGTATCTCGTGTGCAATCTAAATGGTACAATCTATGTGGAGCAATCGATACGGAGCGATCTATGTGATGTCATCTGATGTATGTTGTCCAATATCAGTTGTACATATCTACGTGTTGCAATCTAGTCTGTGAAAATAAATTCGATGAGCTTGGAGTTGACAGTTCCACTGCTCACAATTTAGTTTGCAAAACCCATGCGGCGGCGATTGCGGTTGCGATGACTGCGTGGTGTTGACTTGCGCATTGCTGCGGCCGCGCTAGCGTCCGCAAGCTCGCTCGCAGAGCGGCCAGCTGGTCTGGCGAGACCGACGCAGCCACGGTGGCGCTGACCGCTGGGGACCTCCCAGCGCGTCTCGCAGGCCACACTGACGCGTGGGCATTTCAGTGCGAGTCGGTGGATCGGGCGGGCGCAGTATCATGGTGACGTCGACAAAGGCGAGCACGATGATGGTCGTATCGATGATGGTGGCGATGACGACGATGACGATGCCGACGGCGAGGTCAGCGACGGCGCCGATGCTGATCACGCCGATGACGATGTTGGTTCCCACGCGTCGGCGTTGAACGTTTTTGAAGGATTTCGACATGCGCGCGCGGCCGACGCGCGCGAACGGTCCACATCGTTTTATCGGAAAAGGGATCGCGCCCCCCCCCTCCCCCAGCATGCGCGCAAGAACGTTCGAATGATTTCGACACGCGCGCGCGGGAGGCCGCATGGTCTCGTGTGAATGGAAAACGTTGACACACGTATGGTTTCCATCCGAAACAGCTGGTGTTTTATTCCGGGGCAATCGATCTCGAAGTCCTTCCGAAACCCCGGCGTTTTGGAAGGAGTTTGGCATGCGCGCGCAACGACGCGCGCGCGTGTGGACTTCGTCCCGTCTGTTGCATTGGTTTTGTTGGTTGCAAACGGAGGATGTTTGGTAGACGCCTGCGCGCGCATAGTCTCACTTGCAATGGGCGAGGGGGGATTACCGGCTTGGTTGGAATGGTGTGGACCCGATTAGACATGCACGATGCACCACAACATGTTTTGTGAACTTTTTGTAAAATGCAAATCCCCAAGTGGTAAGGAGAAGTACGGGGGATTTACATTTCCGTTCCGAAAGGAGAACCGCTGTGGTGCAATTTTTGCTATGCACTTGAATTTTACCCATGATTTGACACATCCCACGCTTTTGCAAACATCCCACCCACCCACCCGCAACTTGGTTTGCAAACCCTCTTAAGACCGACTACGACGACACCGACCACAACGACTACGACGACACCGACGACGTCTCCGACGACTTCGACGACGACAACGACGACGACGACGACGAAGACGACGACGACGACGCCAACGAAGACGACGACGCGGGAGGAGAAAACACGACGACGACGACAACGACGAAAACGACGAGGGAGGAGGGAGGACGGCGGCGACGCGAACGACGAAGAAGGAGGAAGGACGGCGACGCCGACGACGACAACGACGAGGGAGGAGGGAAGACGACGACGACGACGACGGCGACGACGGCGACGAAATAGGAGGGACGACGACGAGACGCCGACGACGGACGACGACGACGAGGGAGGAGGAGGAAGGACGACCACGGCGACAACGACGACGGAAACGACCACGACGCCAAAGAGGACGACGACGACGAACACGAGGAAAGACAGAGGACGACGTAGGCGACGACGACGACGACGCGGGAGGAGGGAAGACGGCGACGACGACGACGACGACGCAAGAGCGCGCCCCCGCACGCTTTTGCAAGTTTTTGTAAGTTCTATTTGTTTTTTTGTAAGTATTTTTTTGTAAGTTCTTGGGCACACGATTTTAAAATCCTTCCGGAATCGATGGGTTTTGAAGGTTTTCGGCATACGCGCGCGACGACGCGCGCGTCTGCACTTCGTCCCATTTGTTGCAGAGGATTCTCGCGACGCCACACGCGCAAGGGCGTTCGACAGATTTCGACATGCGCGCGCGCGAAGCCCGTTTGGTAGCACGTTGTGAAAACTGGTTCCCCCAAGA